TGGCTGCCACGGGTCTCGGTGCCGCTGTCAAGACTCTCACTGGTGGAGGCAAGGACAACGATAGACACGGGGACAATCGCAGTCGCGCTGGGAGCCCTACCGGGTCTCGCGCCGGCTCTACCATGGGCGGTTCGGGAGCAAATAAGATTCAGAAAGCCGCCATGGCATCGCTTCTGGCCGGCGCCACGGAAGCCTTTCGCGTGTCCAAGGAGCCTGGCGGTTGGAAAGGCGAAAAGACGAAGCGCATTCTCACCGCCGCTGCCGGTGCTGCGACTGTCGACGCTGCGACAGGCGACAAAGGTGGCAAATTGGGTCTCGCCGAGTCCGTCATTGGTGGTCTAGTTGGCAACCGTCTCATCAATGGTTCCAAGAAGGACATTGAGGAAGACAAGGCAACCGGACGCAGCCGATCTCGTTCCCGAGCTCGCTCACAAGCCGGTGGAGGTGGAGGCGGTGGTGGTGCAACCGGCCTTGCCGCCCTGGCCACGGCTGGTTTGGGTGCTTTAGGCGCCAAGGCTGCCTTCGATCACCGTTCAAGATCTCGAAGTCGTGCCGACAGCCGAGGCCGAAGTTATGACTCAAGAGACGAATCCCCCGATAGACACCGGCGAAGTCGTAGCCGCAGTGTGGTCGACAAGGCTCGCAACAGCTTGGCCAAGCTTGGAATTGGCGGCGGGGCCGTTGCCGCGGACGATCATCGCCGCCGCGACCAGGATGATTTTGACGACCGTGCCTCTTCACGACGATCTCGAAGATACTCGGATGAGTATGACGACGACCCCCGCTACGGCGACAGCCGCAGCCGAGGGGGAGACTACGAGTACGAGCGGTCAAATCGGGGGGGCGGTTACCGAGACTCATCTCGTCGAGGAGGTGGAGGGCGCGGTTATGGATCCGAGTCGGACCTTGGCGACTCAGATGAGGACGAACGGAAAGCCAAAAAGATGAAAGGTAAGCAGATTATTACTACCGGTCTCGCTACTGTTGCAACCATCCACGCGGCACACGGTGTTTATCAAAGCATGGAGAAGAGGACTGCGCGTCAAAAAGCCGTCAAGGAGGGCCGTCTCAGCGCTGCCGATGCCAAGAAGCTCAAGACCAAGGCCATCATGAAAGATGCCGCGTCCGTTGGCATTGCTGCCATGGGTATCAAAGGCGCATTTGAGGAAATGAAGGAAGCCAAGGAGATGACCCACGAATGCAAAGTCTTTCAGGAAGAAAAGGCTAAACGCCATGAAAAACGAGAGCAACGGCGCCAAATGATTCAAGACCCGGGCAACAAACCCCGAAGAGCAGAAAGCTGGGCGCCTTCTCGGTATCGTGACCTTGACATCCATGGTAGGGAAGACTACGGGCCGCGATACTACGATGACAATCCGTACAGCTCCGGTAGACTTCCCGCTCCTCCCATGGGTTACGATCGATGAGCCAGTCTTCCTCATTTTGCCATTTGTTTTGTTCCGTGTCCCCCTTCTATCCTTAATATAAAGAGTATACTAGGAACGGCATGGTGCACACGAATGAAAGATGCAGCCAAGTGGCATGCCTTTTATGAGTTAAATGACGAAAACGGCCTTTATTTCTCTTCTTTTTTATGATTTGGCATTTTCAGCGACAATGTGTTGTCCGGCGTTTTGGTACAGAGGGCAATACAAACGAAGAACGTCGCACGACTATGGATGGGTACAAAAGAAAAGCGCAATCAAAGATTTAGCTATTTGCACTACTGCGTGGGCATGGCACGGGCAAAGATCATTGCATTAGGCAGGCAGATCTGGCGGAGTCGTGTATGTACAGCCAAAGCTGTCATACCTCCGGATCTCCCGACATGCAATATTTTGTACCAGATCTTCACGCTTGCCCAATTTTATTCCTTGTTTCTTAACGTTACTTCCATCAACACAGTGTTTGCCCAGCTGCATATTAAAAAAGGAATGACTAATAACAATTGTGTTTGTGACAGATCGCCGCTACTAGAACAAGAACCTGCCCCCAAAGTGTTCATCCTCATTCCAACTACGGAGTAGGAGGAGACGGCATTGATTCGCGGAAATAAAAAACGAAAAGGGTGGACGCCGAGACAACGGTCGTGTGTGACAGGGAGGAATGCAGGTCAAACAAGATGCCAGGATCAATCGGGCTTTCCTAACAAAGGAATAGCACGGCATGGACACGTTGTGTAGCGAGAAGTGGAAGGCCAAGAAAAAAAAGTGACCATGCCGCATCGATCGACGTTGGTGGAAAGACTCTTTATTAAGGACCGTGCCGCGTTCCGTCTGCCACACGGAACAGTCGGCTCTGCGGATACAAGGGCAGCCCCCCAAAAAATAAGATCCTGTGTTGGCAGAATGTGAGTGGGTATGAAGGGCGGGAATTCGTGGTATTATTATGACTAGGATTGAGGGAGCTATTTTGTGCCTGTCGGCCATTGCTGGTTTACACTACGGAGTATGTATGTTGCTTTCTGATCCGTTTGTAGCAGACTTTTGTTCCGTATGGTGGTTGGTTCTGCTCTGCTGGGATTGACGTTTCTTTTGCTGCGTTGCTCGATTTTTACAGGAAAATGCTATAGAGGAACGAACCGTATGAATATATGATGATGACATGAGTTGTTGGCAAGATATATTTACTGCGCTTCTTAAGTGCACTCTCTACTCCATCAAGAGCTTGGCGTGAGGAATGTGTGGCGTGACGCGAGGCGAGGTGACGCTGCCCCCAAGATAGGAAACGACCAAATCTCGATTCTGAGCATGATGTGAGTGTAACTCGCATTGGGTGCAGAATCGGTCCAGACTGGGGGGGGGCATGGGTGACAACCACACGGGAGATGATGATACAATGCAACTGAGAGGGAGGAATCGGATGATCAGGCCAAGGAAGGCGGTGGGACCGCGCAGGAGGAGGAGGGCGCGAGGTGTTGGCGAGGAGCAGGGGCTGAGGTATGACATCATGCATCATCGTACGAGTACCAACTTGTGTGCCCTAACTAAGTGCCTTGAATGATGGCCAGATGGCACCAGATGTGATTGTTGGCAATGCTATAATTACCACCTGGTCAACTAACTTAGAGATTTATAGTTGATATTTCTGGCTTGTATGTAGTACCGACCGAGTACGGAGCAGCCGTCGGTGAATTGGGGCCGTATAGGGTAGTGACTCTGACACCAACTCACGAGGTACGGAGCACTCGGTAGGCTTGTCCTCGGTAAGCCCATACATGGCGAAAGTCCCGTACTTGGAAATAAGCATGCATGGAGTTCGGAGTGCGGAGTACAATGTTGTTGAATAGTGCCAGACGGTCACGGCGGGAGGCAATTTGAGGAACGGTCTCTGTCTCACAGAGCAGACAATAGTTGCTGCTGGTCGACAAATACTCCTGCGATAAGTACGCGGTAGTTAGTTACTGGACTTTGCTCAACTGGCTGGACTTGCCTTGCCATATGAGAAGCGGTGTTGTGCTGCGGCAATCGTTCGCTTGCAGCCATGTGAGAAGGGACATAGTAATCCAACTACTTGGGCTGGTGTAACTGCTCCCCGAAATGCCACAACACTCTGAGGTAGCTGGCAACAATTTTTATTTTATTTTTTTAGGCCGACGTCTAGTTATCCTACATCTGTATTGATCACAGTTCGATTACACTTCGTAACGCCTTGCTCGGCCAACAGACAGGCTTGTCGTCAGCCCAAGTGGGCGGGCCGGTCAGCAGAGTAAGCTGCCATGTGCGCGGCAGTTCATGCGTGATCCCAAAACTCTGTCCTAAACTTCTGGATTATGTGAAGCCTGACTGCTTGCAACCACAAGAATCACAGCCATCAAGATGTCCGACCGGAACGAAGATGTTGGCCAGCAACGGCCGCAGCCGAATCAAGAGAAGGCGCCTTCGACTTCAGCATCTGCACCACCACCACCACCACCACCACCACCAGGATACAGCCCTGATGAGACCTTCAGGACAAGTTTCGGCTCTCTCTCCCTCCACATGAGCGACAGAATTCGCGTAATCCAATTTCCCTCGGAGGATGTTGACGCTATAAGAGCCACCATACTGCGCTGCTGGGTTAAAGGGATCCAGGCAGAGCGTCCCTACTCCGTCTCCCGCGAATTCAAGCTGCGAGGCAATCCGTGGATCGGCGTCGGCACGGGTCCTGACGCCGTCCCTGCCCAGATTCTCATGCGAGAGCTGTTCGCGTGCTTGTACGAAAGGGGCTGGATCATGACGGCCTCGACGGACATATCACGCAAAAAGGGTGACAAGGATACCCTGATTTTCCGCAAACAACCCGTACCACCTCCAAAGGCTGAGTGGATGGCCATCTCATTCAAAGCCGGCGACAGATTACGCTTCCTGGGGGCGCCGCGGGATCTCACCTCCGCGTTCTCCGGGCTGCTCGCGTCCTTGAGGCTCCTGCAGCGGGAAAGTGACAAAAGCACGGCCGCGAACCATCATGAGTTCAAGCTCCATGGTTATCCGTGGGCGGCTACCGGGGAGGAGACCATGACGACAAGGCTCTTGATTCTTCGGCTGGTGGAGCTGCTGGAGTTGCATGGCTGGAGTTTATACGCGAGCATTGATCAGAATAATGGTCCAGCCGGTGACTCAAAGTTGAGTGAGACGGATTGTTGGTACTGCGTCAAATCGACGGACTGGGTTCCAGGGAGTTTTATTATCCATAGGTAATGGCCCCATACTATTTTTGTGCGGTTATGAGGGGATTCAATTACATGGCTGGCCATGCAGTATGAATATGCTCTTGCGATGGAAGGGCATGATGAAGAAGAACAATATGGGGTGTGAGCCGAGTGACTGGTTGATAATAATCACCACTCTACGGAGTACGGAGTACTAGTATACGATGTACGAAACCTTCCAAACTGTACGTATCATGTTTCCTGTTCATTAGCGGAGCCCTTTCCCAACTGATAACTAGCTCGTGTGAATTATTAAATACAGAAGCAAAGAGAACAAAACGGTGACCCGAAGTGCAAAAAATTTAGTGCTTGACCGAGACAGGGGTCGAACCTGCGACCTTCTGATCACATCCATTAACAGGTGTCAATCGTAGTCAGACGCTCTGCCATTGAGCCACACGGCCTTTATCACGTGAAGTCTTGAAGTGCTATAGTAATATATGTTGTACGTGCAAAACCTAAGACCTTCATTAGTGTCCAACCATGTCCTCAGACGAGCGCTATGATAGTCCTTCTCGTGCGCTACTCCATTCCGTATTATCCTGCTCCGGTTTGAAATTGTTCAGCGTAAAGGAGATTTATTTCAGTGAGATGATGCACCTTTTCACAGTCATGTGCTGAAAATGTTCTGCCCCTACGGTATTAGTTACAGGTTATAGACAGATTGTACACGTTACTTTGAAAAATAAATAAATAAAAAGAATGAGCTTATTTATTCACATTGACAAAAAAGGTAACTTATTGTAATGAGACGGATTATTTTCATGACCTTATGAGCCTGCCAACCCTCCCCCAGTCTGTTTCCACTTCTGGGCCATGGCCATAATATTTGACATGTTCTTTGCTTGCTGGTCATCCGCGGGGAATACATAATCAAAGTACTCCTCGTACGTGTCATCTTCCAGCAACCTCCTCTTCTTTGTCTGTCTAGGCATCTGCTTCTGTATCTTGTCGATATCCCCCTCCGACCCGTGCTCTCGCTCAAATGACAGCCAGGCGTTGAGCAGGGACACGCGTTCGTCCTTGAGATCCTTGTCGCGCATGCTCTTGTGAGCCCGCTCAAATACCTTGCGTGCTCTGGTCTTGGCCTCCTCACTGAGAGGTTGTTGTTGTTGTTCTTCTTCTTCTCCTTCTCCTCCTGCGCCCTCTTCTTCTTCGTCGGCTTCGGGGATGTTGATTTCGAAGTGTGCGTAGCTCATCCACACTTTGACATGGTCCGTCTTTTCGAGAAGGCGCTCGTATAGCTCGCGGGTCCTGTCGTACTCGCCTTCTTCCTCTTCAAAGTCGATGTAAGCTTTCCATAGGAGCTCGGGCATATCAAGCTGCTGCTGGCTGACGGCTAGCTCGAAGATTGCTCGGGTGCGGTCGAGGTCGTCCAGCCCCCGCTCTAGCTCTGCAAACTTTATCCAAGTCTGGCAGTTGGCGGGGTTGTACTCAATGTGCTTCTCGTAGAGGGAGCGGCACCGCACAAACTCGAACAGCTTGCGTTCCAGGTCGACATAGCCGTTGAAGGTCTTGTCCTTGGGACACATGCCGATAGACCGGCCCAGAAGCTTTCGCGCAGCTGTGAGCTGTCCCTGACGGACCTCGAACTGGGCTGCAAGAAGCCAGATTTTGGCAAATGTAAACTTCTTGTGCGGTATCAAGTTCAAGCAGGTGCTGTATATTTGCCGCGCTCGCTCGATATCATGTCCCTCGAGTTCCTCCCAGATGGCATAGTAGATCCACAAGTAGATGTACCGTCGCCAGTGCCGCTTTTCTTGTGTAGGGGGCACTTGGGCAACCGCTCTTTCATATACGTCTCGGATCCGATCGACGTCTCTCGATGATTCCTCCAAACGAGCATAGTCAAACCAGGCGTCGTAGTTTTTGGCGTTCTCCTTGACCTGTTCCTCGTAGTACACCCTCCGTTTTGACAACACAACATCTTCTACTCCGTCCTGGTCGCCATACTGCTTCTCAAATGTGGTGTAGGCTTTGTGTAACACCATGGACTTTGACCGTGGCAATCGATCCAAGGCGTATTTATAGATGGCCCGGGCACGCTCGTATTCCTTCAGTTTGGCTTCGAACCGGGCATACGCAATGAAGAGCCTCTCGTCCACGAACTCGTCGCCCAGGGCTTCTACAGCGCCACCAAACACTTCACGCACCAGCTCGCTCGTTCCGTACTCCTCTTCAAATTTGGCCCATTTGATCCAGTTGCGTGGCTCAGGGTGAACCATGGTGAAGTTTTGAAAGATGGCACGGGCTCTGTCGAACTCGCCATATCTCTTTTCCAGCTTGATATAAGAACTCCAAGCTGCCTCATCTGGCTGCCACTGCATCCATCGATCAAACACCTGTCGCGTACCAGGAATGTTGCCTAGCATCTCCTCCATGTACACGTATTTGTACCATAGCTTGTCGACTCGGGGCAGTATCGTAACAGCTCGATCCAGCAGGTTCCGCGCATGGTTGATGTTTCTCGACTTCATCTCCGCCTCGATATATCGGATCCAGAGGACCACATTATGGGGAAGGGCGTCAAGGGCGCGTTCGAAAACGGATCGCGCGCGGGCAAACTCCTTTTGCTCCAACTCCCATTGCGCATATTGGGTCCAGTTCTTCAGGTTGACTCGATTTCGGCGCACATAGTCCTCGAAGCCCTTGCGCTTTCGTCCTTGATACTCGTGGAGCTCCTCGAGGTCGGAGAATTTCTGAGTCGGCGCTTGGATGCCACCTTCTTGACGATCAACCGCCTCGCGAAGCAGCTGTTCGGCGCTGATCTGAACGGGCGCAGCGGCCTTGTTCTTGACCCGTGGGGGTCCCCTGGAAGCCTCCATGGCCAAAAATTTCCTCGATCCCCTAACTAATCAGCGAGATAAGTGATTAGCTGGAAATCTTGCTGGTTGCAATGTGGTATTTTGCGCTTGGAACAGACAAAGGACGAGGCTAAATTTTTGGTGGTCAACCGTACCTCTGATTAGACTTTGGTTGACTAGTCGGCGGCGCACGGGCCACCTTGCCTCGACATTATTTCTCAGCCTCGCAGCCTAGCAGGTAAATTATCTACGGAGTACGGAGTATTGAGTAGATATTTGAACCTTCCCGCGACAATCTCTCTCCGCTTTCATCATTCAACGACACATAAGACGACGAGCCCCTCTCAGTCGCCGTCATGTCTACCGTTGCTGATGAGCTCCTCAACGATTTTGGAAACTCAGGGGACGAAGCAGAAGAGAACGAAAACGATGGTCTCGTGCACGACGAACCCAACCAAAATGGACATGGACATGGAGACGACACCATGGACATTGACGGTGACAAAGACGGGTCTGACGATGACGAAACAAACGAGATGAACGGTGTAGAGGATACGGAAGCGACCAAGGTCAAGGTAGAGAAGATGCAGCTTGGCGCAGTTAAAGACGTCCGCAGCGTGGCGAGCTTGATGGCGACTCTGGAGCCGGTTTTAGAGGTTAGTAAAACCCCCCCCCCCTTTTTCATCGCAAGCGACGTCGATTTCAAATTTAAAGAGACGGTTCGTTTACATCCAATCTTTGGACACACAGCCCTGACATTGTGGACCGAACGCTACAGAAAATTGCGCATTACCGATCACAAGCATCTACGCAGTCAACAAACGTCGGCAACATCGAAGACCATCCGGAGTATCACCTCCTGACGCAGTCGAACAGCCTTTCAACCATGATTGATGGTGAAGTGGCGCTGGTGCATAAATTTATCCGCGATCACTACTCTACGCGATTTCCTGAACTCGAGCGACTGGTCACGACACCGCTGGAATACGCTAAGGTGGTGTCTATCATCGGCAATGGACCCATGGACTCGGAGAACATCAAAGCGCTGCAAACATCAACAAACAATCCGATGAATATGGGGCTGAAGGCCGTTTTGGACGGTCCGTCTCTTATGGTTGTCACGGTGGAAGCAACGACGTCAAAGGGTCAAGAACTCAACCCCGAGGAGCTGAATAGAGTACGCCAGGCAAGCGCTATGATGGTGTCATTACATAGAGCAAAGCAGACCCTGGCCGAGTATGTGCAGTCTCGCATGAATATATTTGCGCCGAACTTGACAGCTCTTATTGGGTCTCTAACTGCAGCTCAACTGTTAAACGCAGCCGGTGGTCTTACTGGACTGTCAAAGACCCCAGCCTGCAATATTCCTTCATGGGGATCAAAGAAAAGACAAGCGGGCTTGGCAACAAATATTGGCGTTCGACAACAAGGATATATTTACAACTCGGAGATGATTCGCGGTATACCCAATGATTTAAAAAAGCAAGCCATGAGAATTGTGGCTGCGAAGCTCGTGCTAGCCGCGCGGGTAGATCGCATTCATTCGACCCCCGACGGTACGACGGGCGATCAACTCAAATCGCAATGTCTAGAACGGCTAGAGAAGCTTACAGAGCCACCTCCCAACAAGGGTCAACGAGCTCTGCCCGTTCCTGGTGATAAACCATCGAGAAAACGTGGAGGTCGCCAAGCCAGAAAGGCCAAGGAAGCAGTAGCCATGACAGATCTGCGCAAGGTCCAGAACAGAATGGCATTTGGCAAGGAAGAAATTGAAATAGGCTACGGAACAGGCTCGGGCACTGTTGGCATGGGTATGATTGGCCAGCAAAACGACGGCCGGATCCGAAACGTACAGATTGACCAGCGTACACGGGCAAAGCTCAGTGCCAAGAACAAAGGCTGGGGAGGTGCCAGCACTGTCGGCGGTGCTGCATCTTCCATCGGTGGCTTTGGCCAAATACCGGGCAGTATTGATCTTCGGGGAAAGGGTCTGCGTGCATCTGGCGTCGGAACCACGGTTGGTTCCGCCACAGGTACTGCATCATCACTTGCATTCACGCCAGTTCAGGGCCTAGAGCTTGTGGACCCCAAGATGCAGGCAGAGCTGAGCAAGAAGCGTAAAGCGGAAGAGGATCGCTGGTTCAAGGGCGGCACGTTTACACAGGTTGGTGGAGCGTCGTCAACAATCAATGGCGGCTTCAAGGTGCCCGATTTGCCAGCTGCAAAGAGGGTAGATACTGGAGCTACAAAGATGGCTCCTCCTCCCCGTCCTCCTCCTCCAGGACCACAGAAATGAAAAGCAAGAGAGAAGATCGGAAAGAACGAAATGAAGTGACAAGAAGACGACCAACACAAGAGAAGGGTCCAGAGTGTCTCCATCCGACATCCCGGCATGGTTACACAAGTTTGATGACGAGGAATAATAACTAGCTACCATGCAATGCGGCTCTGTCTCAGACGAGGCGCCAATTCCTAATACACAGCCGGGCCCGCCTGCCAGAATTCACTTCCCCAAAGATTTGTTCTTTCAAACGATAAAGCATCGTTATCTATGACTCCATATCCGGCATATACACTAGCAGAACGAGCAGAAGCTACAC